GGGAGCGGGGGGGGGGGGGGGGGGGGGGGGGGGGGGAAGTCAGAGCGAATGCCAGATGAGCGGTGAGGCTGATGTATTAGCTGACTTTGTACAGGAGAGGAGAAGTGAGAGAGCGACACTGACAAAGTAGGGGGTGGAGGAAGATGGGGAGAAAGCATGAATCCCTGTTTGCTGACGACTGTAGATCCCCTCCCCTCTGCGTGTTCGATTCTCCTCCCACTCCGTTCTCCCTCTCCATCTCACTGTGAGCAGGGGGCAAACTCACGGGTCTCTATGCTGGGGATTACCAGACTGTTTATCAGACCGATAGCATTACCCGATTAAACGTTCTGGTTCGCACAGCAGGTAAAAGACAAGTGGAAACACCTGTTCGTATTCATCCTCCTGTCTCCACTGCCAACATGGTGCCTCCTCACTACAGCTGTTCCTTCATTCTGAAAATTGGTTCCGATCAAAGCTGATGTTTGGGTTGTTTTTCTGAGATCATGACTGTCACCTGGCAGGTGATCTGGAAATTTCTCCCAGCCCAGATGTGTTTAAAGATCCCACTTACACCTGACAAGCTGGGATATCTGAGGAGATAATTGTGAGTACGATGGGAAAAATTAAGGGGGGGAAGCCCTGAAGCTGTGAGAAGCAATTTTACAGAGAAGAACATCAACATTCATTGTCAGATGCTAATTACAGAAAGTCCTTTTGCTCACATCTTGCAAACAAAGGACCATGGTTTTAACAAATATGACAATCAAAATAACAAGAGATTAAAACTTACTCTTTGGGAAGGGGATGTCAAAAGTAACCCCCAGCTATCAGTAAAGAAACTGCATCATTTTGCCAGGTAAGACGCATTAATGTATACGTCATTATCATGAACCCCTTTTTCCTTGTTTAAATCTCGGATTCCCCTTTCCTACTTTATGAATCATCTCAGTACAATCGTAAAAGTTTAAGACTTTCATTTGCTCGCTAATCTCCTCTGACTGGCCCTGACTTGTAAGTTGTGTCAGGCGCTGTCATCCTGAGCCGACTGGTTATTGTTCAGAGCAGATGGATGTCTCCGCACCTCTTGTTTTGATACTTTAAGCAGCAGCAGGTTCGGCTGAGCTGCTGTCTGAAGATCTGAGAGCGGAGCTGGCTGATTGTGCACAGAGCTGGAGAGGGGTCACAGAAAGTTAGCGTGCCATTTCAGGCTGCTGACAGACAGGCTAAATGACTGTGTCGGAATGAATCAAACCATGTCTAATGCATGGTGAAAACAAGAGCATCTATTTGCTGTATTAATATTTCTCATTCAGACGTTATCAGACATTTCAGTTTTGGATTTCATAATCAGAAAAATAGTAAAGCATTTCAATGTTAGATGGAATTAGAAAAACCTTCTGTTCATCAAATAGTGAGAATGGACTCAAACCTTTACTGTAAAACAATGGCCTGGCTGCAGCCCATCTTTACCATGTTTCTGTTTGGGAAACCTGCCGTTTGACCCAATATGAATAGAATTCCTCATACTGTGATGCTGTTTGACTGCAGTTGGTTTAA